TTTATCTATTTTGCTGAGCATTTTGTGATAAAAGTTAAGAAATTGCTCCATTGTTTCCAAGTCACTTGTACTCATAGGTCCTTCTTGATTCATCAGTTTTGATGCTCTTCCATCGAGCCATGTTCGTTGCTTTTTAAGTCGATCAAGTTCTTGAGCATGTTCATCGACATCTGCTTGAACAACATCTAATTGTGTTTGCAATTGATCGAGTGGTGTTGTATCGGATAATGATGCCGATGAATCTTCGTAACGTGTTTGATAGGAAACTTCCAGAATAGTACATGCTTTGCCTGTTCCACCGCTAACATGAAATGAAGTTAGATCGACACAAGATGATAAACCTTGGAGAACAAGATCATAAGTGCCTTCATTATCGAAATGATATCGAACAAGACGTGTTAATTCTGCACGATCATTGTATACAGTTACATATTGTACTGGACATTCTTGTTTGACATTAATTTGAACGATTGTGGTGGATGGTGGTGTATTATTCATTGTCGATACTGTCTCTGCCATGTATTTCTTTGTATAAAAATTCTCTAGACTCTGTACTTCAATATTTACGTCTAAAAGAAAAATAGAGAACACACTTGCAAACGTGGTAGTTATATGCCTGTTCTTATTTGTTGTTGTCGTCGTGGCATATGAGCTAATGCTGAAAAAAAGAATGAGTCAGCACCAAAAACCACGTATCATATAAACAACAGAACAGCAAAATAACATATCGAATGAATCATTACCAAGAAAAAAAGAAGTGAATGCACGAATGATTATGTACCTCTGAAAAATGATGGATACATGTAAAAAAACTGTGGACATCTACAGACAGCGCTTCTGAGCTGCACTTTTTATTTGTGGGTGTGCGTGGGTATAGATATCGGAGAAATAAAGCACGACACAACATCTACGTCCCTACCCAAACCCTAGCCAAAGAATGTTGACTATTTAAACTTAAAAATAATTAAAATTTTTTAAAACTAATTATTTGTGAAGTTAAACCATAATGAGCGAATAGCTTTCTAAACTTTTGATAGAAAAATCTAAGAAATTTGTGATAGGCTCTATATCACAAACTACATCTATGATGAAATTTTTAGCAACATCAAACTTCAAACAAAAGTGCCTGTTAAAAACTGGTTGTTTTAGAGATTTCCTTCTGTCTCCACAACAAAAACGTTTGTTTTTCCATCATGTCGCGATTACCAAAAAAAAAGATTTGTGCTACTTAAAATTAAGTCTGAACTTCACTTTCAATTTTAAAAAAATATTCGTACTGTGTCACGTTGCTTACACTAATTTTTTTTCCAATAATAACTCGTCTGAACAACAGTTTCTAGGATTAAATTCCTCTAGAGTACTTTCAGTAACTCTCAACAGAAATTTATTTCATAAAATATGATCTCTTGAAAAGCTCTGAGTCAAGAGACATAGGCATTTTGATTCTGTGAAGTTGTCATTAACGAATGAAATTGCCTATGTATGGAAAAAGTACTAACTTAATCAAACATAGTATGTTGGAGAAATACGGATGAAAACTTCGATTTTTCTCTTAAAAAATTTGATTTTGAGGAAATCACGAAGTAAAGAGAAGTGTCATTTTCAGAAAATATCGAGACTTTCGTTTTTTTACTTGTAAGTATCAAAGCATTGAGCATGCTAAGCAATCTTAGGACGCTGTTATCGACTTAAATATTATTCCTAAAACACATAATAACCTTGGTTACGGAGAGAATTCACTATACAAAGATATAAATACAGAGTGTTCTTATTTTCTGTTCGAACTTCATAGAAGTTGAGTTTGTAAAGTTTGGGGTGTGGGTGTGGGTGTAGACCTTCTCCTTAGTCACACCCACATCCTTCCCTTGATATAACTAAAATAACATTCATTCGCAGTATTTGATCATCTTAATTAAATCATTAAAAAACTGAAACAATTTTTAAAAAGTTTATGTAGAAATAGAACTTCATCATTACACGTAGTAATATTTTAATCATGACCCAATATAAACACGAACAGATATAAACAATAATAAAAACAAACTAAAATTCTTAAACAAGGTCGAAATCGTGATCAACATAAGGTTCATACTCACCATTCCTGGAATTCTTTTTCTCTTTAATTGATTGACTGTTACGAGATTTACTCTTCATAATCATTCTTTTGTGCTGAGAACTTGAATTTCTAATTATCTACCTTAATGTAGTTATATAATGAAATTCCAAAACTACCTCACAAGTCCCTTAAGTAAGGACGAAACGATCGTCGTCTGTATTGCTTGGAATTCATTTTTAAATAGTTATACATACACACTAGAGTATGTGGGTGGGTGGGTGGGTGTGGATGTTGATGAAAAGGACACCCACACCCTATACAGTTTTTTCCCCATGGAACTCAGGAATACCTCGAGGTATACCTGAGTCGCATGGAGGAAAAAGTGTTTATTTCAATTTTTGCGCGATTGCTTATAGATATCGTGAAACGGATTTTCCCCACGAGATAGAGTAAATAAAGTTGTACTAGTAGCTCGCCTGGAACAACCGGGAACATTTCCTGAGCGAATCCGCGCTGGAATTATTCGAATCGGTGGCTAACTTCACCTACGTAAATATTAATGATGATTTCGTTCATTACAGACAACATTGAATGTCCAGTAGATCGTTTAATACAAAAACTTTTTCATGCTTTCAGAGTTGATTTTTCTATTTGATTAAACACAGCCATTGCATGTTTTATTTGGTACGATTCAAAACTCGTATTAATGCTTACGAAAATGTGCAGGTTTAATGAGAGTGAAATCGAAGTATTTCAGCGCCCTTCTTTCTTTTAAGTTTCATACTACACATGTTGTTTTTCAAAAGAAATTGAACTCATTGCTAGTATTAAAATTAAGTGCAAAATATTCGAATTTGGGTGTGGAGTGTGAGGGCGGATGTGGGTGTGTATTTTCATTGCACCTACACCCACGCATTCATACTCCACATCTACACCCACACTCCAAATAAAAGAGATCAATAAACTTTGCATAATTATTAAACAACAAGAATGACTTTAAGTAATATCTGGTTTATAAGTATATTAGATTGTAAAAATGGTACAAATTTAAAAAAATATATGATTAGTAGGTCATAATAAATAAGTATTTTTTATTTCTTCAATAACTTCGTCAGTTTTGATGCAATCGAACAAAACTTTGTTTTTTTTATTAAAATTGCCGTTTTATGCTAGTCTAAAAGTATCAACTTTCAAAAGAAAATATCATTTGTTCGAGTTTCAAAACTTCCACGGCAATATATAAAAGATGTTGAGTCATCTATTTTTTTTTTAGTTTTTCGAAAAAGACTGATTTTAGTTCAAGTCTTTGTTCGTTTGACGAAAATGCTTGTAGTTCCGCGAAAAAATGATCTGTTTAGAAAATTTCAATAATGTGCCTTGAAAATTTGATACTTTTAGACGTCTTGAGTTTCTGATCTATTTGCTTGTCATACTTCGCTCTAGAAAAACTGTTTATACAGAGTTTTGTAGAGCATCGAATAGCGATTCTAATGAAAGAAATTGACTAGATCGGATCAAACTGACAAAGTTATTGAATAAATACAAAATACTGATCTATTCTGGGTCATTCGTTATCCTTGATTATTCAGTCAATCTTTTTTGTAAATTGAATGGTAGACTATTCTGGAGGTGTCTGCAGCTGCTCTCCCAACCGTTGTTGAGATCTTCGTTCGGCTTCTTGCTTGATCATCACTTGTTGAACATGAGTTGGTAGACCTGGATTGAGACTCAAAGCGTAAGGCAGCAGTGTTTTGTGTATGTCACTAAAATCAACCATCACTTTGATGAACATTGTATCGTTTCGTACATAAGAATTTCCTTCTTGTTGAATTATTTCCAATGAGAAAAATTTTGGTATACCACTAGCTATATTCATATCTGATCGAGGTCGTTGAAAACTACTCGATCGAATATCTGGTCGAAATGAATCAATAATATGTCGTTGTGCAGATGTCTGATCGTACAAACAGAAGGTCACTTTATAGTTGAATGGAAATTTGAGAAGTGGATCGTTTACACTTCGCATAAGCACAAAAAAGAGTGACATATGTGTACGACGAGCATTTCCATCACCATTTAAATAAAGACGAGCTCTCATTTTATAGCCAGTTAAAGATGAATAAAATGGAGGTGAATAAATAGATGTTTGTCGTTCAGATTGTGCATCAACTAGAAATTAAGCAAAAAATAATTTTGTGAACAAGAACAGAAGGAAGTGTAAAGAAATTTAAAGGATCGATATCATTTACAGTTTATTTCGTTAATGGATCAATAGATTAATTATACATTGAAGAGAGTGTTCGATCATATATATATTATTTGTCGATATTATAGGAACTGAATAACATCGTATTATTGGATTATCTGATTGAAAGAATATTCGGTTTTTATGACTCACCATAAGAGTAATTGCTTAACTTACTCATTTTCTCTTGAAAGTTTGTAATTTTCCATACTAATGTTCCATCATATGCAACATATTGTAAATCATTGATTTTTTCCTGCAATGATGCTAAATCTTGATTGAGAACGTCTTCATTATGTTTGACTCCTTCAAGAAAAGCATTTGATTCTTCAATCGATAACTTAACTTTTGACAATTCTTCTGTCAATGTTGGAATTTTTACTTGAATTTTAAGTGATTCATTGCTCAGACGTTCTTGATCATTATTCAATATTTCAATACCACCTGACAAGATGTTGAGCATTTCATAAAGCTCTTGTAATTGAGTTGTAGCTATATCATAAGTTCCTGCTGTTGTTATTTGAGAAAGATCATTATCTACCTGTCTACCGCTTAATTGCAATAACATTTGACCAACAACTTTCATTATAGCATGTTGATGCTGTTCAGTTAAATAATGATCTTCCATTTCGGCGCGGATAATCTCAACAAAAAGAATTTTTAGATATCGATTTCATCTAGAAAACATTCATACTTGTTCATTACAACCAAAGTCTTTCAATATACAATCGACAATCATTTTCTCACATTCGGAGATTTTATGTTCATTGTATTTGTTAACTGAGTTAAATTCTTTGCTACAATATTCGCATTTCAAATTTGAATGATGTTCATCTAGATGTTCCTTTGAAAGAAAAAGATAGAATATTCGTAAATAATTTTAATCTAAAATAAATCACCTGATAATTATTTAAGACACCAGTCCATTGGCAAGAAAAACACTCAATAGGTATTGATTTCATATCATTTTTGAAACCTCGATCAAGCAGAATCTACATAAATCGAATATATTTTCTCTTTAACTATGAAGAGATATATTACCTCGGTTCGTGATGTTTCAGATTGACATTGTCGACATTTAATTGTTATTCTTGAAAAAGAATAATGAAGAATAAAATTACAAATTGATAATGAAACTTACTCGTATTGGGCATCAAAACACGATTGACATTGTCGATGGCCACATTCACTTAATTGTACAGGATCTCGTAGTATCAA